TCTCTCTCTCTCTCTCTCTCTCTCTCTCTCTCTCTCTCTCTCTCTCTGTCTCTCTTCCAGTTCCTCTTCTGATGAGGTAGCTACTGCCTCTCTCCCATCGCTTTCTCTTTCTATCTATCTATCTATCTATCTATCTATCTATCTATCTATCTATGTATCTATCTCTGCCTTTCTCTCTTCTCCCTTTCCCTCTTTCCCCCCTTCCCTTTTCCCTCCATAACCCATTAATAAAACTCTATACCCAAACTCTCTCTCTGCATTGCTTATCTTTCTCTCTCACCTGCTGCACTCCCCACCCAAGGGGATCAACTGAGGCTTTGGGTGACCTGCTGCTGCCCCTTGTGCAACTGCTGCCACCCATGGGACAGGTCCCCCACCACCAAATGTTTATAAACAATAACAGTGGAACAACTACAAAACATATATAAACACATGAAACAGAACAGAGTCAGTACCAAATCTACACCCTTGAAGGCAACCCATCTTTGACAGTGATGATAAGAATCTAAGAGAGAAAGGTGGCGTCTTAACAAGTAGTGCTGGGGAAGCTGGATATCTGCAGATAAAATAACAAGTTGTGCCTGTGTTGTATAATTATAAAACATCCACAAAAAAAGGATTACATTAAAATGCAAATTCTCAAACCATGAAATTCTGTTGTATGAGGTGTGGGCCACGTCCTGTTGCCTGGCTAGCTTAACCCCCAAAATAACCACACAGAAATTTTATTAATTAAATCACTGCCTTGTCATTAGCTCTGGCCTCTTATTGGCTAACTCTCACATCTTGATTCAACCCATTACTAATAATCTGTATGTCACCATGAGGTCGTGGCTTACCGGGAGAAATTCTAACCTGTGTCCATCTCAGGCCAGAGATTCATGGTATCTGCCTGTCTTTTCCCAGCATTCAGTTTTGTCTTTCCCACAAACCTAAGTTTCTGCACTATCAAAAGGCCAAGGCACTCTCTTTATTCAACCAATGACAGCAACACATCCTACACCAAAATTCTTATAAGATGGCATGGCACAAAGCACTCTTGCATATGGTTGGCTAGGATATTTCGAACATCACCACAAAAGCAAATAACAAAAATACAAGATAAATAGTGAGACTACAACTAATTAAAGAACTGACAGACTGGAAAAGCAAAAACTAACAGGCTAAAAGGCAGCCAGCAGAATGGGAAGAATACGATAAACTATCTGTGACAGGCTAATTCAGAAAACTTCACAAAACATCCTAAAACTTAGATAACTAAAACTCACAAAAAAAAACAATTAAAAATAGACAAGGACCAGAACAATGTCAAAAAAAGCCCCAAACTCCTAATAACCAACAATAAAAAAAATCTCAACATTATTAATGATCAATGTAACTCAAAACCTCACTGAGATGCCACTACATATATGCTATAATAGCTGATGATCAGTAGCAGTAAGACAAGTGATAAGTGGTGAAGATGGGGGAAGAAGGAACATTTGAAAATGTAGGTAGCAATGTAAGTTGCTACAGTGTTGTAATATGGAATGGCAGGAATAATACACGGAAACTGTATTCATTTAAACACTGCCTGGCCCATTATCTGTAGCCTCTTATTAACTAACTCTTAAATATTGATTCAACCCATTTCTAATAATCTGTATGTCACCACGAGCTCGTGGCTTACCGGGAAAGATCCTAACCTGCGTCTGTCTCAGAGAGGAGAACCATGGCGACTGACTGCCTCTGCTTTCTTTCTCCCAAAATTCTGTTCTGTCTACTCCACCCACCTAAGAGCTGGCCTATCAAAAAGGCCAAGGCGGTTTCTTTATTAATTAGCCAATGAAAGCAACAGAAATACAGAAGACTCTCCTACATCACTACAGCCAATATAGAAAGCAATACAGAAATGCTGTTTAAAAAACATCATCCAGAACTATCATAAGATTGAACATTTGAACAAGGTCATTAAATCATCATGACAAAGAAATACCTATATGCTCACTGTAGAAATGTCCTAAATAGATATCAAGACATGGTATTATCATGGTATCTTCTTGAGCACTATCAGCAGAGGTGTGAATAAAGAAATAAGTCTACAAGAATAGATAGTGCCCATCATCATAAAGGAAACTTTGTCACTTTGAGAATGTCATGCCACCTCCTGCAGAGTCTGTGTGATCTCTCACTTAAAATGTGGCACAAGCTTTAAGGAAGAGTGCCCACAGAGAAAGTGTGTGCATGCTGTGCCTCCTGCTTGGAGTCCTTGCACTCTTGGCATTACCTGCTTATGTTCTAAGAAATACAGTCTGGTTTCTTTAGGAAGGGAAGATAGTATGTTTAAGTTTCCAGAGTCTACTGATGAGCCATTGCCATACAAAGGAGTATATGATGCTAATGGTAAAAGATGGGTTAACATTTAAAAAAGGCTTTCCAGGTTTAATCTGGTGCTTAATAAATAAAAAACAAAAGACAAACCCAATTAAGCAATTAAGACAAATTCAACAAAAATAAAATAAAAAAGAGATAAATGCCTATAACGTCTTAAAATTGGTTTTGAAAAAGGTTTAAAAAGGAGTTAAAAATATAAAAAAGTTCTTCTACATAAATTATAAAAATATAAAAAGAAACTGTATAGCTATTACTACAATTGCTCAAAATGCTATGAACTCATAGCCTAGATAAAGATTTATATCAAAACTAACATCAAGCCATGTCTAGCATGACCAAACGCAGACTCACATCTGTCTGATAAAAATCTATTCTTACGTATCTGATACAATGATTCTAAGAATAATCTGTACTGCATGAAAAACAGTACATGGTGTTAAGCAATCTTTTCTGTATAAAGAATGAGTCTCATGCCTATTAAAGACCCATTCAAATGTAATTCCTTTGAGTCTTGTTTCTGTTTGTCATTTGTCAACTCCTTACCACGTATTCCTGAGACCCTGTCCCATAGGTCTCAATGCCTCTGCTGAATTGGTCTATGCAGAAAATGTACATGAAATTGGAAGACATTGAACTAAATGGAGCAAGCAAGACACTATAAGGAATATACTACATAATCTCCACTTTTTGTTGACTGAACATGCTGCCATTGGTACCAGTTAGGTAAACTACTAAAATGCTAATAAGACACATGTATTTGTGTAATGAACAAGGAATCAAAAAAAAAAAAAAAACAGCAGCATGATTTTAAAACAAGTTTAATAAGGAAAAAAATGAGTAATAGTGTATAGCTTACTTAAGACTTTCTAAGGGAGAATGTCTTTACTATCCCCTCCTACACATACACAGATACACAGAAGGGAGTTATGAACAAAAGCAGATATGCTGGATCATGACTTTGGTCATCAACATGTGGCATATCACACCACATCATACAACTCAAATGTTTTTGTCCATTACACTTCAATAAGCCTAGGGAAAATAAAACTAAAAAAATATTTAATTCACTAAAATTTCAAACATCTGTGATGGGTTTCCTCTTACTAGACTTTACAAATGAGAATAATGTTGTTTCACATACATTATTAAATATTATCAGACATTTTATCCCTTCATCTGTTTACTATTTGGAACAAAATTATTTTGCTTTTCTGGCATTAGTGGGGACTGTACTCCTGACCTTGTGTATACTAGACAAGCTCTGTTCCACTGACCTATACACCCAGCATGAAATTATTTTCCAATTGGAAGATGCTTTTCTTACAATGTTTATGTGTCTGTACCTGACTGTGTTCATCAGGATCAAATCTTACTATTCAGGAGAAAAAATTTAGCAGCAATTTTTAAATTTTATGGATTAAATATATTCTGCATAGTTTCATTATAAAAGAAATGTCCCCAGTGGTCTCACTGGTCTCAGTGTTTAATCCTTTGGCCCTGGCAGTCAGTGCTATTCTGGGAGGTTCTAGAAATTCCCAGAAATACATCGCTTGAGGCATGTCCTCATTCTCAGCATTCGACTGTCCTGTTCCCAACTTCCCTCACTTCCTTTCCACTGTGTTTGAATCCTCTGAGGCCCCTAGTCAAAATAATTCTTTTAAAATTATTTTTCATTAAATCATATTTGTCACACCAATTGAAAAAGTTATTAACATACTTTTCTAGATACAACTTTTCGATATATCAAAATATATATTTCAAAGAAAAAGTTGAAATCATTTTTATGTTCTCCAATTAAAAAGCAACTTTAATTTCTTTTAACTTTTCTTCCTCATATGGATTAAGTTCAGATAGAAACAAACCTGAGGGAAGGAACTTTATGATTTAGCAGACAGCAAAGGACATAGGGAAATGGGTTCTTATTTAATAAAATAAATGTGCAGTGGTTATACACAACTAAATGACAAATACGAGACAGATAAAGAAGGAATAAGGATGAAAGCAGGGAGAGGAAAAAGGAAGGCCCGTGAAGAATGAGAGACGCAGCACTCACGCCTGTGGAACAGGTCCCAGTACTCGTCAATCTGCTTCTGTGTGGGGAAATGACCACAATCATTGAAGTACTTCAGCAGCTCGCTTCTCTCTAGCCCTTGCCAGTCTTCTCTCTTGGCAAACATGGTTTCATAAACTAAAAGCCAAAAAGGAAAAATAATGTAGCTTCTTTTACAAATAATGTGCCAAGGACAAGTCATCTAAAAAGTCCTTCCCAACTGGAAGCAACGGCAATCCCAGCTTTATTGTCACATGTATGGATGAGTCTTTGGGACTGTAGGAGCTGGGGTGGTGCCAGCCTTTTGGCAAGGGGCAAGAGGAAGGACTTCTCTTTCTCACCCATTTCCACAAAATTGAAATTCAGTCTGACTCCCCATGGAGAACAAAGGGTGCAGTGGAGGCTGCATCTCTTTCACGACAAGTGATCACAGACCTTATTACACATATTCAGACCAAAACTTCATTACAAACTCTAAATCGGGGGCTGGAGAGATGGCTCAGCGGTTAAGAGCATTGCCTGCTCTTCCAAAGGTCCTGAGTTCAATTCCCAGCAACCACATGGTGGCTCACAACCATCTGTAATGAGGTCTGGTGCCCTCTTCTGGCCTTCTGACATACACGCAGACAGAATATTGTATACATAATAAATAAATAAATAAATAAATATTTTAAAAAAAACAAACTCTAAATCGGAATATTTTACTTTTATTAAGATGTATTCACTGTGTGATAATCCAGAGCACACACATAGCATAAACCACTAAAATCCCACCTTCCATATTCCTTTCCAGCTACTAATAGTTGCTATTCAGTGCTCATACTGACTTTTAAAACATTTATATGTAAGGGAGGACATGTGGTATTTGTCTTTCTGTGTATGACTTATTTCACTTTGCATATTGCTGAAAATAAAAGTATTTAACTTTTCTTAATGGCTGACACTGCAGTGTGGATATATAAAATGGTTTCTTTACTCATGTATCTGTTGCTAGACACTTAATTTAACCCATGTCTGCACTATTATGACTAGTGTGACCACGAACACGGGTCACACAGACATGCAGGTGTCTCTTTGACATACTGCTCTTACTTCCTTGAACATACATTCAGGATGGTTCAGCTGGATCACATGATGTTTGTTTTTCTTTTCTTTCTTTTTAAATTTATTTTTAAGATCCTGGATGTTGAGCCTAGGATACCATGCATAAAAGCCAAGTATTCCACAATTGCATGTCACCACCAGAACTCTTTTTCATTTTATTTTGAGACAGGGGATCACCAAGTTGCCCAGGCTGACCTTGAGATGTGAACCTCTTGTTCTAACCATTAGGTCTGTAATAGCAGATCAAACTATTTATTTTTATTTTTTGACTCTTCTACTTGTTCTTCATAATGGAGCTGCTAATTTGGATGCCTACAAACAGTAGGCACTGTCACCAGCAGGGACAGGAATCCCAGGCCCCGGACTCCTGACTCCTGACGACGCACATCAGTAGCCATTACTTCCTTTAATTTCTCCCCTTTCAGCTCTCAATTCACACTCTAACTACTTGGATTTCTATTATACTTTGGATTTCTGATTCAGGAATACAATTAGGAGCAATGTTTGCATTCTGCTCACTGACTTCACAGCAAGAGAAAAGAAAAAACCTCAAGAAATTCCTACCTAAATGCCAAATCTTCAAAACCCAAGGAGAGGTCCCCAGATTTTTCCTTGGACAGCAGAAGAGAGGGTGCCTGAACTGGCCTTGTCCCATAGCCACACTGATGAATATCTTGCATATCACCATAGAACCTTCATCTGGCGATGGATGGAGATAGAGACAGAGACCCACATTGGAGCACTGGATTTAGCTCCCAAAGTCCAAATGAGGAGCAGAAGGAGGGAGAACATGAGCAAGGAAGTCAGGATCACGAGGGGTGCATCCACCCACGGAGACGGTGAGACTGATCTAATGGGAGCTCACCAAGGCCAGCTGGACTGGGACTGATGGAGCATGTGATCAAACTGGACACTCTGAATGTGGCTGGCAATGAGGGCTAACTGAGTAGTCAAGGACAATGGCACTGGGTTTTGATTCTACTGCATGGACTGACTTTGTGGGAGCCTGGTTTGTTTGGATGCTGACCTTTATAGACCTGGATGGAAGGGGGAGGACCTTGGACTTCACACGGGACAGGGAACCCTGACTGCTCTTAGGACTAGACAGGGAGGGGGGAGAGCGGAGGGGGAGGTGGAAATTTTTAATAAACAAATTAATTAACTTAAAAAAAACATCAAAAACAGAACTAATTAATAACTGTTGTAGGTATACATTTATCTTTGCTTTTCAAATCTACAAATTAAAACTGCTGCTTTTAGGACCTGTGCTCACTGCCTTGTAGAGCAGAACTCAAGGCCTCCTTCTGTTTCTGGACCTTTGACCCAGAAGTGCCATTCATTGCCTCAGCACCCCTTCTAGGACAGAGCTTTAATCTGTCCAGGGATTTAGGACCCCTGCGGCGTGGCACAGAGGGGCAACTGCTGCATGAAATTCTAGTTTTTGAGAAAGTTGGCTCCTTTATTTTCACAAATTCTCATGATAATGTAATTTTTTTAACTTCCATCCTGTCTCTGCTGCATTTCTCTGTTTTTAACAATATTTTGGGCGTGGATCTCTGTGAGTTTGAGGCCAGCCTGGTCTACTAGAGCTAGTTCAAGGACAGGCTTAAAAAAATACAGAGAAAACCTGTCTGGACAAACAAAAAACTAATATTTTTGGAACCTCTTCATAAATGATAACAATTTTACTTCCAAATAAGTTAGTTGTACTTGAATCCTTTTCTCAGAATTTTATTCTAGAGAAACTTAAAACTAAGACATAAAGAATGTGTTTTTGTTCTCTATATAAATATATTTTCCTTTTAAAAATTTAATAAAAAAAGAAAAATGTTATTATAAAATGATTAGATGATAAGTGGACATGAATAAGAAAAAACTCTGCTGTCACATTTTTCCCTAAGCATTGTGTCACCACTTGAGTCCTAGAGGAGCAGCCACCTCATGGACAATCAACTATTTTCAGCTCTGTATGTTGGATCTCAAAAGGATGTGATCCAATCTATCTGATAACAAGAATAAATAACTTCATTCTGTGTAAAAAAAAAAAAAAAATATGTACCTGCCGGGAGGTGGTGCCACATGCCTTTAACCCCAGCACTTGGAAGGCAGAGGTAGGTGAATCTCTATGAGTCTGAGGCCAGCCTGGTCTACAAGAGTTAGTCCAGGACAGGCACCAAAGCTACACAGAGGCACCCTGTCGAAAAACCAAAAAGAAATAAATGAAAAATTCATGTACCTTTCTTAATTTTTCCTTCAATCATCATTCAACGTCTTTTATACTAATATCTTATATCTGTGACTGTGCAATGCTTAGTGTATAATACAAAAGTTCAGAAGCTCAGTAGCAGAATTAATGAGCTAAGCTAGCTACTCGGTTTCAGTAAACACATAACAGAAATTATGAAAATAGTTTAAAATTAGTAAAATATATTTTTAAAAAGTACACAGATATTTGCCAAGTATCAAATAACTAGCAATCATTGGATAGAGAAGAGAAAACTTCTATAAGAAACATAACAAAAAATATGTTGCAAATAATGGGTACTCTAGGCATAATGTAAATGAATGATATTCATTATTCTTTAAGTCATTCATTTAGCTAACTCTACTCACTGCTGAGATCCTGTATTGGACAGAGAACAATCTGTCTAACCGAATGCCTTTATTCTGTCTTTACCTCATGCAAGTGTAACCACAGTGATATGTATTCATAAACTGTACCATGTTCTCTGTGTGTAATCTTCAGGTCCCTTCCCAACCTTACAAGGAATCACACCAAGAAACTTATATGCAGTTCAGAGACTTTAAAGACTCTTACTCAGTAACATTATCACCTAAAACCCACCAAATACAGACTTGAAAAAGCAAATACTACATTGGAGGGGTTGAGGGTATATATGCATGTATCAATCCTTAGTCTTTCCAAACTAAGATAGGATAGATAGATAGATAGATAGATAGATAGATAGATAGATAGATAGATA